GTGTATACTAGGTTCACAGGACACAGTACTAGGCTGTCCCCTGGTGTATACTAGGTCCACAGGACACAGTACTAAGCTGTCCCCTGGTGTATACTAGGTTTACAGGATACAGTACTAGGCTGTCCCCTGGTGTATACTAGGTTCACATGACACAGTACTAGGCTGTCCCCTCGTGTATTCTAGGTCCACATGACACAGTACTAGTCTGTCCCCTGGTGTATACTAGGTTCACAGGACTCAGTACTAGGCTGTCCCCTGGTGTATACTAAGGTTACAGGACAATGGACTAGGCTGTCCCCTCGCGTATACTAGGTCCACAGGACACAGTACTAAGCTGTCCCCTGGTGTATACTAGGTTCACATGACACAGTACTAAGCTGTCCCCTCGTGTATACTAGGTCCACAGTACACAGTACTAAGCTGTCCCCTGGTGTATACTAGGTTCACATGACACAGTACTAAGCTGTCCCCTCGTGTATACTAGGTCCACAGTACACAGTACTAAGCTGTCCCCTGGTGTATACTAGGTTCACATGACACAGTACTAGTCTGTCCCCTCGTGTATACTAGGTCCACAGTACACAGTACTAAGCTGTCCCCTGGTGTATACTAGGTTCACATGACACAGTACTAGGCTGTCCCCTAGTGTATACTAGGTTCACAGGACTCCGTACTAGGCTGTCCCCTGGTGTATACTAGGTTCACATGACACAGTACTAAGCTGTCCCCTCGTGTATACTAGGTCCACAGTACACAGTACTAAGCTGTCCCCTGGTGTATACTAGGTTCACATGACACAGTACTAGGCTGTCCCCTCGAGTATACTAGGTTCACAGGACACAGTACTAAGCTGTCCCCTGGTGTATACTAGGTTCACATGACACAGTACTAGGCTGTCCCCTAGTGTATACTAGGTTCACAGGACTCCGTACTAGGCTGGCCCCTCGTGTATACTAGGTTCACAGGACACCGTACTAGGCTGTCCCCTGGTGTATACTAGGCTCACAGCACACAGTACTAGGCTGTCCCCTCGTGTATTCTAGGTCCACAGGACACAGTACTAGGCTGTCCGCTCGTGTATACTAGGTTCACAGGACTCAGTACTAGGCTGTCCCCTGGTGTATACTAGGCTCACAGCACACAGTACTAGGCTGTCCCCTCGTGTATTCTAGGTCCACATGACACAGTACTAGTCTGTCCCCTGGTGTATACTAGGTTCACAGGACTCAGTACTAGGCTGTCCCCTCGTGTGTACTAGGTTTACAGGACACAGTTCTAGGCTGTCCCCTGGTGTATACTAGGTTCACATGACACAGTACTAGTCTGTCCCCTCGTGTATACTAGGTCCACAGTACACAGTACTAAGCTGTCCCCTGGTGTATACTAGGTTCACATGACACAGTACTAGTCTGTCCCCTCGTGTATACTAGGTCCACAGTACACAGTACTAAGCTGTCCCCTGGTGTATACTAGGTTTACAGGACACAGGACTAGGCTGTCCCCTGGTGTATACTAGGTTCACATGACACAGTACTAGTCTGTCCCCTCGTGTATACTAGGTCCACAGTACACAGTACTAAGCTGTCCCCTGGTGTATACTAGGTTCACATGACGCAGTACTAGGCTGTCCCCTCGGGTATACTAGGTCCACAGGACACAGTACTAAGCCTAGGCTGTCCCCTGGTGTATACTAGGTTCACATGACACAGAACTAGGCTGTCCCCTCGTGTATACTAGGTTCGCAGGAAAGCAGGACACAGTACTAGGCTGTCCCCTCGTGAATACTAGGTTCGCAGGAAAGGTTTATCCATACATTAGGACACAGTACTAGGCTGTCCCCTCGTGTATACTAGGTTCGCAGGAAAGGTTTATCCATACATTGTGATGTTTCATTTCCATTATCGTTCAAGTTAAGTGTAGGAGAAAACTGCAACAGACCTGCAAGCATTCCCTTAACAGGCAAGTCTGATGATTGGTATCATCCAATCAGATCATTTTTTACCTAAAGAATGGTAACACCAGATGCATCAGAAAAAATCCTCCGACAGAATATTGATAAATTTCTATATAACATTTAACATAAATTAAAAACAATCTTTATAATCTAAACAAAAACAGTAACAGCACAGTATAAGTTTAAATGTGATTTGGTCCAGACAACAGTAGATTTGGTAGACCACGATTAAATGCTGAAATTAAGTCATCATACACTCATTAAAAAGTTTGCCAAACGATTCCACATACCTCCACATGAAATTCTCAAAAATATTTTGAATGTAAAAAAAATGTTTTGGCGATTTCATCCAGAGAACAAGATTGATTTTGCAGTGGTTCTAGTCCTATTAGATTCCAATAAAATCTAACAAAACAAGAGGCCCATGGTACATATATCATAGGCATAAATAGAAACGGGCACTTGGATTTTTTCAACATGAGTGAAAATCTTCTCAACGACTGGCCTTCATAATGACAGAGTGATCTCCCTTTGGTATGCCATTGTTTGCAAAAGCAGGTTATTCCAGTTTCTGTGTCATGTGAATATTTGTTGTAAAACTCCTAGATTACATTGTAATCAGTGACTTGCGGAAGAAAGACAAACAAGCTAGGAGACCAAAAACATCGCCAATGTTAGCATTTTAAATATGTAAATCAGATGGGTTTTTTCTCTTCTGGAGAACCTAAAGTTACAAACCAAACTGACCTCTCCAAGAGGCAGGTATAACACATTTTCCACTAACATGTAACAAAAACATGCACATTTCTTTTCTATAATAAAACTTTAAACATGGACATGAAAAAACATGAATAACACTATGAGTAATGTATATACCCCTCTATCGACCTCCCCTCTCTATATTCCTTATACTGTGACTCATCCAGTACATAACAATTATCACACCCTCTATCGACCTCCCCTCTCTATAGCCTCACTTCAAACTCATCCAGTACATAACAATTACACCCGCTATTGACCTTCCCTCTCTGTAGCCTCACTCCTACTCATCCAGTACATAACAATTACACCCTCTATCGACCTCCCCTCTATATAGCCTCACTTCAACTCATCCAGTACATAACAATTACATCCACTATTGACCTTCCCTCACTGTAGCCTCACTCCTACTCATCCAGTACATAACAATTTCACCCTCTATCGACCTCCCCTCTATATAGCCTCACTTCAACTCATCTAGTACATATGCTCACACTTTTTTTCCAACGAATCAGAAAGCACGAGTTTATTGCGTGGACGAATATATTCACGAGTGCGCACAGCGCTCGAGTGAATATATATATCGCAAAAAATGAGTGCTTTCTGATTCGTTAGCAAAACACAAGTGTGTTGTCTTGCTTTTATCACATTCCTTCCGTATTTGGTAGAGATCAACACACAGATTTTATAAACTTTGATATTTTTTGCAAATACTGGGAACTTTTCAGTTCGCCACGACTAGGGGATTCCCATAAAAAGTAGTTCCGGCTAGTAGGTAAATACAACATTCCGTATTGCATATGTGCAATACAGAATGTTGTATTTCATGGTCCGAACATTGCTTGTATTACTATAACAAGATTCAACAGCTATGTGATAAATAACAATTACACATGCTATCGTCTTCCCCTCTCGGTAGCATCATCACTCAAGACTCATCCTTTACAAAACAAGAACTACACACAAACAACCTCCCCTATCTGTACCCTTACTCATCCTCTACATCACCAATCACGTAACAGCTCTCTTACACCCAATGGACCAAGCTTCCTCTAGGAGTATATGTACAGAAGATTAACATGGAGTATACAACAGACATGTACACGTGTCACTTAAATAAAGCACTTAATATTAAAAATGTCTACCAGTAAATGTTGTCTAAAACTACTCACACTACTGTTGGAATCAAAGTCATCACAGACAGTTAACGAGACTAATATTTCAGCAATATTTGGAGGTAGGTCCTACCACAATAACAAAGGATCATTAAATTCTACATTTCACAGGTTGGAGACCCTGTTCCAGCACAGTAGTCCACTTGCTCTTGTAATGTACATTAGGACTAGATACAAGGAAAATAAACCTCAGATGTCAAACAAGTTTCTAATTCCTACGTATCATTTCTAATAACATGTAAAGTGCTTTGAGATTCTTTATATCACATTCAACCAAAGCATGTATAATAGCACATTTTGTGAAAATTTTGATATCTCTTCAACAATCTTATATTATTCAAACAAATTTTCCTTTACATAGAAGAATGTCAGAAACAAACTGATCTCTTGGTATCTGCCTCTATATCGTAAAGGTTTTAGAAATCCAGTGAATGCCTTGACATCTGCCACTTCATATGAAGATTTTTAGAAACCAATTGAATCTCTTGATATCTGCTTCTATGAAGGAAGATTTTAGAAACCCTTTGAATCCCTACTATCAGTTTCTATACAGGAAAGGTTTTGGAAAATCATTGAATCCCTTGATATCTGCTTCTAAATTAAATATCTGATTGTCAAAATAGCCAGAAAAATCCTTTAGCACTTTATGCTTGTCCGAGAGAATCTTCAGACTATTAATGCATAGTATATGTATTAGTGTGAATGTATGTATATTGACCGAGCTGACCTTCTGCGTTTGATAATTGTTGATTCACCTCAAAGGTGATGTGTGACTATGTGTAATGAAACTTGGAGTCGTGTACATTTGGTCAATCCGCTTAATTAATGTGGTTTATGTAATGTTGGTATGATCGTAGATTATAATCGCTGTTGCATATTTCAAAGGATTAAACATCTATCTTGTAGCCCATGACAATTTGGTGTTCGAAGTAAAGACTATTTAATTATTCTATATTACTCAACTTATGATTATACCCATACTCTACTGTAGCTATTTATAGCCACGTGTCAATGTTGTAGCCCGAGACAGTGACATAGCGCTGATGTCACCAATAGTTGGAATCCCTAGTGATGATTGACCACCTGATAAAGTACCAATCCCATACTCTAGTGGTGGGCCTATTTTTATCTATTACTATTAATATCTATACTTACAAAATGCATGCGAAGAAAAATGGAGATTGTGATTTTAATAATATCTGTTTTTCTTGCATCTTTAAAAGTAACCTATTTCGTTGTTTGATTCTTACTAGCACTTTAAACTGTCAATCTACTTAAGTAACACAGAACTGCCCATCAATAGTGCTAAAATATCCTAGCTCTCACATGAAGAATTCACAATTCAATAGCTCCCTAGGAGTCCAAATTCAAAACTCAATGGGAACAAGTGGTAGTGACACAGCCCTAACAATATTGCTGAAATATCATCTCTAAATACAAAGCCGTCACAACTCATAGTTCCCTAGGAACCAGTGGTTGTCACGGGAATACTAGGTGCCGATGTGGTTGCCACGACACTGGGTACCGTGACAACTACAAAAGGCTTAACAACTGGCTGGCCAATCATCTGTCCGCCTTTTAACAGGCCTGGAGAGAAGATGGGAAATTGTTGTAGCAGTTGCTGTGATGTTAACATATTGATCTGTGACTGGGATAGTCCTGGAGTCGCAGCTGCCAGCTGAACGTTTGGTGACATCACCATTGGTGACACAAGATGCGCTCCGCCGGCCTGACCCATCTGAGCCAGCGATATGAGTTGCTGCATGGATGTGTGGCCAACCATGTTGCCTATACCCGACAGACCGCCCATAGTGGTCCTTGGAACTGTCTGTGGCATCAATGCTGCTAGGGGAGCCGTCATAATTGCGTGGTGTGGTCCAGCCCCGATAATGGTGGGGCGAATGTTGTTAATAGGAGCAGCGTTGACCATTGAATGTGTGGCTTGTGACACTGCTGATGTTGCCATGCCATTCTGCATAGCTGCCAGTGACATTAGAGAAGCTGAGGCTGTGGTTATCGTGGTAGCCGAGGAGATCTGGGATGATGCTGTCGTGACTGAAGTCACCATGGGTGTGGTGAGCTGTAGGCCGGACGACATTAGTATGGGTTGGTTCAGGGCTTTTGTCAGGGGTGTGAGGTTGGTTGCAGAGTTGATGTTGGACATGGGGATGGACATTGCTGCTGTGCCTGCCAGCTTGTTGAGGGCAGCCAGTTGGGCAGCGTTAGCAGGACCACCGAATGAGCCAAGTGACAGTGGCGCCCTCAACTGGGTTATGGATTTCATCTGATTTGGGTGGAGCTTGCCAGCACCACTGGCACTTGTGGTGGCAGTTGATGACACTGTTTTAGAACAGAGAAATTGTATTAGGCAATCTGAAAATCGACATATGAAATTAAATATCCTGACAATGAACTATTTGAGATTGCGTTACAAAGAATTATGCTTCAGAACTTATAGTTATTACATAGCACAAGCATACAAGTGGTCTTTTTATAAATTCATTAAGCTGTATTCATGGAATGCCATCAAATATCTTTCCAATAACATGGATGTCAGGTTAAACAACAGTTTCCAAGGCTGTCTGACCTTGACCTTACCGTGCACTGCCCCCTGGGAGGTGCCACTCTGTTGTCGCTGAAGCAGCTGTCGGGCCAGTATCTGGGTCACTGGGGGACGTACAGCCGCAGCCAATGTCTGCTGGATTACACTGCCAGTCGTCTGAATGGCTGGCATGGAAACTGTTGAGGTAGTCATGGGAACTTTGCTGGTGGTGTTGTTGCCAAGGGTACGAGTTGGAGTAGGGTTGGGATTTGAGACCTTCAGGACTGTCATGGAGGCTTGACTCACAATGGGGTGAGGCAATGACTTATGTATGGTCTTGTTAATCTTTACCTCGTGTACTAAACAGAAAAAAACATGTCACATTCTTTAGTTCTGACTGCATGTATTCTTAAACGGCTCCAAAATATTTCAGCTCTTCATACCATTGTATTTTGTTCCATTTCAATCTAATATATAGGAAGTGCTTAATGTATACAGACATATCCTTAAGTTAAAACGAACAGAAGTACAGTAAACCCTGTCCTATAGGATACCATGAGTGATACTATCAGTAATCAGAATACACAACGGTAGAAAAGAGATTACAAGCCTGAGTTGGATTAGACATGATGTCTAGATACTCCGATCTGATTAGTCAAATGTATGAATCTTCAGAGGTCAAATTAATGAGGAGATTGGACCATTCGGGGGATAGGATAACACAGGATGTCTGAATATCAAGGGGTCTGTATAGACAAGATGTCAATAACCTCAGAGGTCAAATTAAACTGATTGTTGGACCATTCGGGGGTAAGATAACACAGGACATCTGAATACCAAGGGGTCAGATGAGACAAGATGTCTAAATCCTAATAGGTCAAATAAACAGGAGGTTGGACCACTCGGGGTAGGATGACACAGGATGTCTGAATATCAAGGGGTCAGATTAGACAAGATGTCTGTGTTCCAAGGGGTCATATTGGACAGGATATCAATGCCATGTAGGCCTGACTGGACAGGATATCTGAATATCAAAGGGCCAGATTAGAAATAATGTCCGAATATAGAGAGGTCAGCTTTGACACCATATCAATACCCACAGGCTAGATTAGCCAGAAATGCGGTGGGAATACCGAGGGGTCAGAATACCGAGGGGTCAGAATATCATAAACAAGGGATCAGACTAGACAGGTTCCATTGTGAATGTACCAGTATAAATAAGGATAAAAGCTAATTAAGTAAAGTTTATGACAAAGATAAATTTGTTGCTTACCAGTTATGAGAGAACGAGCTATTTCATCGTCATCTTCATCCTCACTGCAGATAGGACTTCCTTGCTCTGAAATACAGAGATTACAGGGGTTAACACACTAGCAAAGGCACCTACTCCTGGAACAAACACTGGTGATGAGAGAAACACACATATTGTCAGGTTACACAGGTATTAACGACCTTCAGGTATCTGAACTGCTGATATTCATATAAACAATTGTTCATCAAAAACAAGATGGAGAGACATGTAACAAACTTAGAAATAGCCACAGATATCTACGGACAGAGACCTTACCTGTTTTATTTAAGTTAATAGGATTGTGTCACCATTTCTCAGTAGAATTTCTTCAAATTTTGTAGTTATATTGCTTTGGAGTAAAGAAATTTTTTAGCCACAAAAAAACTATAGGTTGTCAGAATTTTAAGGATTTTAAATGGATATTTATGTAAAAAGGAGTGAATTTTGGAAAAAAATATGAAAGACAAGTTTTTGCAAAATAATGTCAATAAAAATGATAGTGCCATAGATTAGTATTGCATTAATGTATATCAATTTAATAAATGCTGAAATTGTGTAAAATTAATTATCTATAAACGATTAAAAATTGACATTTTATAATAAAACCATATACACATAGTAATTGCATGTAAGAGTTATCTGTCCTGAAAAAGGTAGCCGGTGTCCTGAAGTACAGAAAAATGGACACATGTGACTCATTGATAAAAAATCAACTGAACTAATGCCTGGGTTGCTTTGTAATACTTTAATATTGAGAGAACACACTGTTCTGTCAATACTAAACACACAATATTCATCAGTTTAATATTAAACATTAGAATATGTGGAAATTGTGATACTGTCTCCCTACATTGGATTTTCAACTAGGGATGTACTTCCTATTTTCGTTTATCAATACACTCCTATGACCTTAAGGACTTATTCTTTTGTCAACAATTATCATTTTTACGGTAATCAACATGAACACAGCCTTAAAGGTGAGGAGAAGGTGTTACTACCAGGGCAAGAACCTTACATGTGGCAGTGGAAGAGTTTCTATCCTTGTGGATCAAAGTTTTCAACCATGACAACAGTCCCATCTGTGGTAGTGGAGAGCTCTTTACCCATGTCGTCAGAGATTACAACTGATGGCTATAACCATGACAACAACCTTACCTGTGGCAGAGGTAAAACTCTTTACACATGTTGTCAGGGATTACAACTGATGGCTATAACCATGACAACAACCTTACCTGTGGCAGTAGAGGTGGAGTTGGTGTCCTGATCGTCAGGGATGGTCGCCCATTGGTTGATGTCTACTTCTATATTCATCCTGACAAGTTCAGTCTTCAGCATAGCCATTCTCTCCTGGAGGCTGATTTTTTCCCGAGCCAGGCGCTGCATCTCCAGTTCATACTCCTTTTCCTTCCTCCGCAGCGCCTGCAATACAGCAAAACCTACTTCTATGAAGGACAGTGGTAGGAAATACAAGTAGTTGTTACGCAGGACATCTGGGTGCCAACAAAAACTGGTATAGGTTATGTAAACCCAAACAAATCTCAATTCTCTTACGAATGACCTATTAATTACTTCATGTCAGAATCATGAAAGAAGTTTCAAAGTCTTCAATATAAGCTTGAATTCTGAAGTCTTGTTACGACAGTGATTGGCTGTATCTAATATGTAAGCAGTATCTAAGGTATACAGGTAATGAAAAATCAACTCCAATCAAATAAGTGCTAATATGTAAGCAGTATTTAAGGTATACAGGTGATGAAAAATCAACTCCGATCAAATGAGTACTAATATGTAAGATGTATCTAAGGTATACAGGGAATGAAAAATCAACTCAAATCAAATGAGTACTCATATGTAAGCAGTATTTAAGGTATACAGGTGATGAAAAATCAACTCCGATCAAATGAGTACTAATACGCAAGCAGTATCTAAGGTACACAGGTAATGAAAAACCAACTCCAATCAAATAAGTGCTAATATGTAAGCAGTATCTAAGGAATACAGGTAATGAAAAATCAACTCCAATCAAATGAGTACTAATATGTAAGCTGTATCTAAGGTATACAGGTAATGAAAATTCAACTCCAATCAAATGAGTACTAATATGTAAGCAGTATTTAAGGTATACAGGTAATGAAAAATCAACTCCAATCAAATGAGTACTAATATGCTGTTGTCTTAATAAGGTTGGGTTTTTATAATGGCAGTTACATAAAAAGGTAGATATATACATTTTTTTATCATATGAATAGTGTTATGCACTGTCATAAAGCCATCACATAAATTATTTTTATGTAACGTTTGTATTATCACTCTGGAAATGTTGTCACAATTGAATAGGAACAATCAATGTGACGTCACGTCATTGTGAAGCGAATGCAATTTTCATTGTTTCAAAGACAGCCAAATGCAAAATATTTGTTTCAGATCACAATTATACAGTTTACTTTGTATTATATGATAAAAAGAATATGTCATTCGTTTCCCTTCATATTAGATTTATGATACTTGTTTTGGATATTTCATATTTGCTTGCCAGAGGCTTGCAAACATGAACAAGAGGCCCAGAGGGCCTGTATCGCTCACCTGGATATCTAAGCAATCATGGCAAAATATTCTCCAAATGGGATCCAAGGAATTATGCCAGACCCCAAGGCCAATCCTTGTAGATATCTGTATTAGATTTTTCATGCCCAGCAATTTTATGTATAGTTATGGGGTGGAGATCTCAACTGTTTCCAAGCTGTGACACAGAAACTAGGTCCATAGGGTTGTGGCCAGACCCCAGGATCAATTCTAATATCATGACTGCATTTGTCTCTTTATGCCCAGCATTTGTATTTGTAGTTTTGGGGTGGGGATCTCAACTGTTTCAAAGTTATGACCCAGGGACTATGTCTCCAAGGGTTGGGCCAGACCCTAGTGCCATCCTGGAAGCAAATGTGCATTCTTCTCTTTATACTCAGCAATTGTATATATGGCAATACGGTGGGGATCTCGACCATTTCCAAGTGAAACACTTTTTTTGGCCCCACCCCTTAGCCTGGGGCTACCATTTGTACAATTTTGAATCCCTGCCTCCCATGAATACTTCGGACCAAATATGATCAATAAAGTAATTTATAGCAATATAGCCAAATTGCCGCCTTTCGGCCTCACCCCTCAGCCCCCTTGGGGGTCAGCCCCACCATTTGTACAATTTTGAATTCCCACCATCTAGGGATGCTTCCAGTCAAATATGGTTGATATCAATCTCTTAGTTCCAGAGAAAAAGTCGCTGAAAGCAATATAGCCAAATTGTCCCCTTTTGGCACCGCCCCTCATCCCCACTATTCGTACAATTTTGAATCCCCATCACCTAGGGATGCTTCCAGTCAAATATGGTTGATATCCATCTCTTGGTTCCAGAGAAGTCGCTTAAAGCAATATAGCTGAATTGCCCCCATTTGTACAATTTTGAATCCCCACCACCTAGGGATGCTTCCAGTCAAATTAAGTTAAATTCCAATCAGTGGTTAAGAAGAAGTCGTTCAAAGAAATTGTTGAGGTACGGACGCCGGACGCCGCGGTATGGCATAAGCTCACCTTGGTCCTTCGGACCAGGTGAGCTAAAAATCCAAAACTTGTATCATAAATCTAATATGAAGGGAACAAGTGTAATAAATCCTCCAGGTGCTGTGATTGGTCAAAACTGTGGGTACAATTTCAATATTTTTGCTATTAAATATATTTTTATTGGATCGAAAACTGTTCATTATCAAAAACAAATCTGGTTCGCACAGCATCGAACAACAAGAGGCCCAAGAGGGCCTGTATCGCTCACCTGAATATTTAAGCAGTCATAGCAAAATATTCTCATTAAATATTATATTGCAATAAAAATATTTCCCTCGCAAACTTTGTTGGCTCCATCTGTTAAAACTACCAGCAATATATTATTATAAGATTCTATGCTTTTTGATTCTTCTTCAGAAGTTGCTTGACATATTTTTCCCAGTGACCTTGTAAGTAGGTCAATGTCATTTTCCTTCTCAAATTGGTTAGCTCGATTTCAAAAAGCTACCAGCCAAATCTTATGAATCCATTCCTTTTAGTTCTTAAGAACAAATCCATTAAAATGTTGTTGACCTCTGTGACCTCTAACATAGGTTGAGGTCATTTTCATTCGCAAACTTTGGTGAACTCTATCCCAGGAAGTCACCAGCCAAATATTATAATTTTATGCCTTTAATTCTTCACAAGAAGTAGTTTTATACAAATTGATTTTTTTCCCCTAAGTATGCTTCAGACCACATTTGGTTTAAATCCCTTTGCCCAAAGATTCTCCAGAACAAGTTTGGTTATAATCGGTACAGAAGGACAAGGATCTTTTATGTTTTCCTCTATTTCCCCTAATGGGCCCCACCCATCTGCCCCAAAGAAGGGGGTTCACACACCTCAGTTTATACAAAATTGATTCTTTTGTCCCTAAACATGCTTCAGACTGCATTTGGTTTAAATCCCTTCACTTGTATAGTAGGAGAAAAAAAATCCACTTTTTCCCCTATTGGGCCCCGTCCCTATACCCCCAGAGGGGCCACACCCTCCATTTATACAAACTTGAGGCTCTTTTGTCCAAAGATGCTCTAGAACAAATTTGGTCAAAATCCTTCTATTGGTTGAGAAGAAGATTTTTAAAGATTTACCTTTTCCCCCCCTATTAGACACTGCCCCTCTGCCCCCAGGGGGGCCATACCCTCCGTCTATACAAAACTGAGAACCCTTTGGCCAATGATGCTCCAGACCAAATTTGGTCAAAATCCTTTATCAATACAAAAAGAAAAGGATCTTTGATGTTTTCCTCTATTTCCCCTAATGGGCCCCACCCATCTGCCCCTAGAAGGAGGCCCACACACCTCAGTTTATACAAAATTGATTCTTTTGTCCCTAATCATGCTTCAGACTGCATTTGGTTTAAATCCCTTCACTTGTATAGTAGGAGAAAATAGATCCTCTATTTCCCCTATTGGGCCCGCCCCTCTGCCCCCAGAGGGGTTACATCCTCCGTTTATACAAACTTGAGCCTCCTTTATCCAAAGATGCTCTAGAACAAATTGGGTCAAAATCCTTCTATTGGTTGAGAAGAAGATTTTTAAAGATTTACCTATTTTCCCCCTATTTGGCCCCGCCCCATGCCCCTCTGCCCCCAGGAGGACCATACCCTCCGTTTATACAAAGCTGAGAACCTTTTGGCCATTGATGCTCCAGACCAAATTTGGTCAAAATCCTCTGAGCCGTTCAGGACAAGTAGCGTACAAGTACTTTGGTTTTGACCTATATAGAGTCATTTGATCAGGTGATAACACATGATTGTGTTTGAAGTTTTGTTTTAAACTATGAATGATATATGATAAATAGAGTCTTACATTCGTGTCCGTGTCATATTCAATTCATTTAACAAGTTCAACAAATTGATATAACACTTGCCTATAGGCTTGCGTCATATCAAATTATTGAACTTGTTGTATAAATAAAATCTGACATGAAAGGTAAGTGTCATATATTATTGAACTTGTTCAATATGACATGGACGGTAAGTGTCATATATTATTGAACTTGTTCAATGTGACATGGAGCTGAAAGGTAAGTGTCAAATATTATTGAACTTGTTCAGTGTGACATGGAGCTGAAAGGTAAGTGTCAAATATTATTGAACTTGTTCAGTGTGACATGGAGCTGAAAGGTAAGTGTCAAATATTATTGAACTTGTTCAGTGTGACATGGAGCTGAAAGGTAAGTGTCAAATATTATTGAACTTGTTCAGTGTGACATGGAGCTGAAAGGTAAGTGTCATATATTATTGAACTTGTCTAATGTGAAATGGACATGAAAGGTAAGTGTCATATATTAGTGAACTTGTTCAATATGACATGGACATGAAAGATAAGTGTCATATATTATTGAACTTGTCTAATGTGAAATGGACATGAAAGGTAAGTGTCATATATTAGTGAACTTGTTCAATATGACATGGACATGAAAGGTAAGTGTTATATATTATTGAACTGGTTCAATATGACATGGACATGAGAGGTGTCATATATTATTGAACTTGTTCAATATGACATGGAGATGAACGATAAGTGTCATATATTATTGAACTTGTTCAATGTGACATGGAGCTGAAAGGTAAGTGTCATATATTATTGAACTTGTCTAATGTGAAATGGACATGAAAGGTAAGTGTCATATATTAGTGAACTTGTTCAATATGACATGGACATGAAAGGTAACTGTCATATATTATTGAACTTGTTCAATATGACATGGACATGAAAGGTAAGTGTTATATATTATTGAACTGGTTCAATATGACATGGACATGAGAGGTGTCATATATTATTGAACTTGTTCAATATGACATGGACATGAAAGGTAAGTGT